AGGGGCTCTAGTACCATGTTCTTGGAAACTTATACAGTTGCCTGCTACAAATAAAAAACATTCTGAATCTCTAATCCTAGAAGCTGAAAAAAAAGAGCCCAGCCTTTGTTTAATCACAGCTCTAAACAGAAACCAGCTGTTTTTTTTCTTACTGTCAAATGTAACCACTGGTCTAATTAACCTGATGGTGGATACGTTACACAGTAGTGCCTCCTGGACCTTAGTTGTGCTCGGTATGTATATGTTTAACAACTGTTTGGTTATATATGTCCTTAATTTACAAGGTAAAACCGTAAAGTTTTGGTGATGAATGGGTAGGCCGTGTATATTTGAACAGCATTATTATTTTAGGGAGGAGAGCAAATGTGAAGGAGATGTGCTCTTAGCAATCCAGTCTTCACCGTATTTTATCAAAAGTTTCAATCCTCTGACAGAAATTAAACTCTACTTTTTTTGAGGAAGACTCCTGCCACTCTACCTGGATGTGTAATACATTTCAACATTATGTAAAACAAGCCAACAGAAGTGTACGGCTTGAATCTCAGAGCATGGGAAGTAGGGGTAGGCAGGTCTCTGAGTTCGAGGCCAGCCTGATGTATATGTTGAGTTTCAGGACAGCCAGGGCTATGTAGAGAGACCCTCAGGAAAAAAAAAAGTCGAAACAAAGTCTTGTGACTTATTGGAACTTATAAAATGCCAGTATTTTAAAGAACTTGTTTACAGGATTTCGTTTTGTCTGGAGCTCACTATGGTGCTCATACCTCAGCCTCAGCACTGGGGTTTCAGGCATGAGCCACCACACCCAACGTGTTGGTAGTTTTGACACTTGCAAGATGAAGGGTGGGATTTTTTTACTTTTCATATAACATTATGCCATTGTATTTGTGGTGGTTTATATGGATATATAATTGTATGATTATGTTTGTTACATGATGTTTACATTAAGATATTTATGAATTGTCATTTCAAAGGATTTTATGTGTGTATATTTTGCCTTCATGTATGTACATCACAGGTGTGCAATGCCCATAGAGGCCAGAAGAGGGGGTTTAGATACCTTGGGACTGGGATTACAAATGGTTGTGAGCTGCCATATGGGCGCTAGGAATTGAACCTGGGGCCCCTGGAAGAGAAGCAAGTGCTCTGCATCGCTAAGCCATTTTTCTTTCAAGTCCCTCTATTTTCTTTTAGTTGGGAATCTCACGATGTATCCCTGGCTGACCTGGAACTCAGTATAACGACCAAGCTCACCTCAGACTCAGAGAGATCTGTCATCTTTTGCTTCCTGAGAGCTGGGATCAAAAGCATGTACCACCATGCCCAGAAAATTATAGATTTTTCAATGCATCGATTTTTTTAAAGTTTCCTTTTTACTAGATTTATTCCTTTCTTATTTGTTGTGCCTGCATGTGTGTAGGTGTACCACAAGCATGCTTAGTGTCTTACAGGATTAGAAGAACATTCCATCTCCTAGAAACAGTGATGAATGGTTGTAAATGACCACGTGGGTACTGGGAATCGAACCTTGATCCTCTGCAAGAGTAGTAAGTGCTCTTAACCATTTGAGCCGTTTCTCCTGCTCCTTCAACACATCTTTTCATCTTTTCATAAAGTCTAGGACTAAGAAGCAAGTGCTTAAAACCAGATACATTTGAAACCAGAAAAAAAGTTAAGTGTAATAAGTAATGATTGAATTGGATGATCTTAAATATATTACTTAAAACCAGTTTTTTTCAGGTACCTGATACATTTTACTTTTTTTTTTTTTTTTTTTTTAAATCTTTAAGTTTTGATACAGGATCTTACTATGTAGTCCACACTAGCTTTGAACTCTCCCTATAGCTCAAACTGGTCTGGAATTTATGCTCACCTAGCCTCAGTTTCTCAAATGCTAGAATTGTAAGAGTGCACCCTCAACCCAGCTATACAAGTTTTAAGACTGATTCATTGTAGCCTGCTCTGTGCTAGGCACACAATAATAAAACACAACTAAGGGATACATCTTGTAATCATAGCACTCAGGAGGCTGTGGCAGGAGCTAGAGCTCAAGGCTAGCCTAGGCTACATAGATCCTGTCTCAGAAGATAAATTTCTAGTATCTTGGAACTTTCAGTCTAGTGAAGGGAAACACATTAAACTAATATAAATACCGAGTCATAGGAAAAAAAAATACCTGTGGATTGTTACAAGTGTCAAACCAAGAACCAATCTAGGAAGGAAACAAGTTTTCTCCATAGATGGATATTTTTGAGGTAATCCTAATGGATGATACGTGTATCTGCGGATAGAAGGGTAGACAGCAGAGTACTGAATGTATGGTGAATCTGTCAGCAAAAGTTCTAAGTTGGCAGGGAACCTATGTAACTCAGAAAAAGGGAGTGTGGGATGTAAGCTGGAGAAACAGGAGGGGACCAGATAAGGGAGCCTCAACTATAGGAAAGAGAATCAAGAAAATCAGTGAGAAATGAAATCTTCAAGCACATATAGTCTAATAAAAATAAGGTTACATTAAGGCTTAATAGACTGCTGAGAACTTGAACGATTTAAAGTTTTCAAGCCGATCTTTGACTCGCCTGTTAAGTCTAAAGATGTAAAAATCACAAGGTCTTTAGTTTCCAGTTCTGATGTTCAATGTGTATGTTATTTGTTTTGGTTTTTTGAGATAGTCTCTGTAGTCTTGGCTAGTCTGGAACTATATAGGCCACTCTGGCCTCCAACTAACTCATGGAGATCAATCTGCTCCCAAGTGCTGGAATAAATGCTAGCCACCACCATGCTTGGCCAATGTGTATATTTTAAGGCAGGGACAATACTGGCCAGCTGTGGTGACATAAACCTGTAGTCCTAGGACTTGGGAGATGGAGGTAGCAGGATCAGGAGGGAGAAGCCAGGCTAGACCTGTGTGTGTAGTGGTGGGAATGAAATTGTGCTTTTCTGGTTTCAAGGACAAATCAGAAATAGTTGCTTGTGAGGGTGTTTAATTTGATATTTACTAGCAATCTAAATTATTTGTGTAGTTTAGAACAGGTGGAGCCTCCTGGTACAGGTTTGCTGTTTGAGCTAGTTGACTTCAGATTGTAGACTCTATTTTTTAGTGGTGCTGGGGATTAAACCAGAACTTCAGATTTGCTGGGCAAGCATTGTACTGAGCCACACCCCTAACTCTGAGAATGTATTTTTTTTTTTTTTTTTTTTTAGGTTTTTCGAGACAGGGTTTCTCTGTGTAGCTTTGCGCCTTTCCTGGAACTCACTCTGTAGCCCAGGCTGGCCTCGAACTCACAGAGATCCGCCTGGCTCTGCCTCCGGAGTGCTGGGATTAAAGGCGTGCGCCACCACCGCCTGGCGAGAATGTATTTTTTTAATGTAAATATACTAACTGTTAAATGTGTTTACTTCATCTGCTTGATGGCTAATTTTGTGTTAAGATGGCGTTGTATTTGCTGACTACAATTACATCAGATTATATTTTCAATTAAAAAGTTTGACTTTTGAAATTTAACCAATAAGATTATAGTATGTAAATTAAGCATGACTAGGACAGTTGATTGATTTTTCTGCCGTGTCACAGTACCAGGACCCCACAGTTTATCTATGGGAGCTGCCAGAAGAAGGCAGAGTAGCTCAGCTACTACATTCATTTAGAGAAAGTAGTTATCCTGTGACTTAATGAATGTGTCTCATTTAGTCTGTTGCTTTTTGTTAATAACTGCTTTTTTTTAAAGACAGTGTGTCACTGTATAGGACTGGCTGGGTTAGAACTTACTGAGATGTAACTGCCTCTGCCTCTGGAATGCTGGTATGTGCCACCACACCTGGCACTTATTTATTTTGTCTTATTTTATTTTGAGACAGGGTTTCTCTGTGTAGCTTTGGAGCCTTTCCTGGAACTCACTCTGTATCCCAGGCTGGCCTCGAACTCACAGAGATCTGCCTGCCTCAGTCTCCTGAGTGCTGGGATTAAAGGCGTGCCCCGCCAGCGCCTATCGTCTTATTTATTTTACTTCTTTTTTGTGGTACTGGAGACGGAACCTTGGGCTTTGAGCCTGCTAGGTCAAATGCTCTACCACTATATCCTCATCCCTCCATTCTTTTCTCGTCTAAGTTTATATCTTTGACAATTACAGGTATTAACTAAAAAGGACAAAGTGTACACTTTTTTCCATCTTCTAATTCCTAGGGTCCTAAAGCGAGGCTAATGAATTTATAAAATCAGAATTTGTGACCAAAACTCCCTCTGATGATTGTTTTTCAGAAGGGAAAGATTACTCAACAATGATTTACTGAGCTCTAATGTGTCAGGTATAGGTGCCAGGAATACAAACAGACAAAGTCCCTGCCTTTAAAGAGCTTACATTTTAACCTACGTTTATTTAAAGAAATACCTAATATATGTTTACTTTATTATTATTTTGAGGTAGGGTCTGTGCAATCCAAGCTGGCCTTGAATTTATGTTAAACTCCCTGCCTTGGCCTCTCAAGTGCTGGGATTGAAAGTATGTGCTACCACACTGGGCTTGTGTTTCTGTTTTTAATTGCTAAAACAGAATCTCCTACTGTCAGATCATGAAAAGGAAAATCCAACTTACATGTTCTCAGACATACTAATTTAAGTAAGTCTGCCACTGATTTTGCTGCCGTATCGAAGAGTATAGCCTACACTTATAGTGATAACAGAAGGTATTCCAGCTAATCAACGGCCATTTTCTTCAGTATTTAGTAGTGAAAATTAAAGTTAGCAGCTATCTATGTATTGGCTCAATATTAGTTACCAAGCATAACCTAAAATTCAAATGATCTAAAGCAGGTACATGGAGTATAGTAGTTGTACACATAAAACACAAGCTTCTCTAAAAATGTCCGTATTTTACTGTGTACTTTGACCTGTCAGGCGCACGCAAACCCCATATGCTTACTGGATTTAAGCTAAGGATCACACTGTTCTGCTTTTAGTATGGCCCAAAGACATATTTACTAGATAATCACACCTTTGGGAACACACAATGGTTCTTCCAGTTTATTATGTCACCTACCCTGACAGTGACCACATAATGTCATAAGTCAACATGGTTAAGGATTCACTATGGAGTTTTTTTTGTTATGACTGTCAAAGACTTCATGTGATGATCAAAATACTTTTTAAAGGTCAGTAACAACAGCTTTAGCCTATTTACCAGAAAATATTCGATCTATCCTTAAGATCAGGCAGTTGTACAAGCAGCGAATGGATTTATCATTAAAACAGTCAAGACATAACAATTCCCATCCTTTGGGCTTTACAACGGACCTCCCCAGAGTAGGACCTGAGAACGTGGCAGCGGGCAGAGTGCAGAGGATTTGTCTTTACAGCAGTTCTGGTTCTCCGAAGATAGTCATACGGAAGGGCCTTTGGTCACTACCAGTACTTTGCCCAAGGGAGTCCCTAAGTTAATATTAACCCAAGAAGTTCCTCTGGTCAGAACGTACACATAGACTACTGTTCAATTTTGTCGCTATTTGTATCAACAAATTCGGCACGTATCCATCTTCTCGGAGATCTTGACGCAGTCCCCGTTAAGGCAGCCGGCTCCGGGTCAATCAGGGTAGCAGAGCCCGTTCTTCCAATCTTCCAGTAGTGGAAGTCCGACTGTGTCAAATCCTGGAAACCACGGCCAGATGTTATCTTTCCACTGTCCGTTCTCATTGACCTCGACAGCCTCAGCTCCTCACCACTGACCTAAGTCCTCTCCGGGCCCGGCCCCACGCTGTCCGCCCACCCTCCGCCCTCGGGAGAACAGATCCGAGTTCGGCACGGACAGAGACCCAGGCCACCCCTGCTCAGCCTCCCTACTGGCTCTGTTTCACGCTCATTTTGGTAAATCCGGGGCACCGCGCGTTTGCACAGGGGGTTCCCCCCACCACCATCACCACCACCACCACCCGCAGATTTCGAAACTCGGGACCCGAGAGAGAGGGGCGGCCGCGGTCTCGCGAGAAGAGGCAGGCCCCGCCCGGAGTTCGCGGCCCCTCCCGGCCCCACCCTCCCCACGTCCCCCGCCCTCCCTCCCACACTCCCCGTGGCGCGAGCGGCTGACTGAGCCTGGAGAGGAAACGGCATTCGCAGCCGCGCTCCCGCCCAGGCCGGCCCTGACGCGGGCCTCGTCAGCCGGTAACGGGGAGCAGAGGTGGGGGTCAGGGAGGCGTCCACGAAGTCCGTGAAGGTCAGAACCAAGAGCCCTCTTCCGACCCGGGTGAGGACCGGGTCTCCGCTCGCCCCCACCCCCGAACTCTGCAGAGCAGAGGCGGGATCGACCCCTCCCAGGGGCGGGGTGGCGCCGGGCAACTGCAGCCCGGGGTCCCGCCTGGGCGGGGCGCTCCGAGCGGGGAGAAGGGGGTCAGCGGCGGGGTGCGGGCATGGGTTGTGGAGCCCAGGCGGGGATGAGCTCCGGGAGCCCTGGCTCCCGAGCTGGGCGGGGATGTCCCGGGGCCAGCAGGTCCTTTTCCGCCTCTCCTTTGGACCCTGACTGGAGGCCAGCGGGCGGGCGGGCGGGCGGGCGGGTTGGGGGGGGGGGGGCGGTGGGTGGGGGAGGGCAGGCGGCGCGAGGGGGCGGGTCCCGGTGCTGCGGGGCACTGATTGGCTGAGCGCGTGTGGAATCGGGTGATGGGAAACGCAGCGCGGCTCTCCCGTCCTCTCTTGCTCCGCGCCCCCCCTTCCCCCCCCCCCCGTGGCGAATGTGCTGCGAGGTGGCGGGTGCTTACGCTCGCGGGGTTTGGCTGTTGCAGGCAGGAGCTGGGAGGAGGCGGCAGCGGCAGGAGCGGCGGCGGCGGCGGCAGCAGCGGCAGCTGGGAGGAGGTGGTGACGGTGGCAACGGCAGCGTCGGGGACGATGGCGCGACTGGTGGCTGTGTGCAGGGACGGGGAGGAGGAGTTCCCCTTCGAGAGGAGGCAGATCCCCCTCTACATAGACGACACCCTCACGGTGAGCGGGCCGGGCCGGGTTGGGCCCGCTGCTCCCCTGGCAGCTGTTTCCCCTCCTTCCCCTCCCCCAGGCCGAGCGCTGCGCACTGGAGAAAGAGTGTGTTGCAACTCCTAGGCGAGGCCGCCTTCTCTCCGACAGGCCCCACGAACTCGCCTTTGCAGGGAGCCCCTCGGTACCCTTGGCGGGCCCCGAGCCCAGAGCCCCGGACGCATTTTGAGGGCCTCTCCTCAGGTCTTCCTCCCTTTCAGAGCCCTGGGCCTTCACCCCTGCCTTTGAGACGCTGCTTTCCCTAAGCACGCGCCTCTGAGAGGAAGGGTTGGAGGAGCTGGGGCGTTTACGTTTAGGGCCTACCCCCTACAGAAGCCACTTACCCTCCGGGAGGCTTCATTATCTGGAAATGTCGCAGCTGCATTGCTACCTGTGTATTTTCTATTTTAACACTATAGCTGTCACTACATAAACGTAATTCCTGAGGGCAGGGTGACATTCTCTTGCACAGTGAAGATTCCACTAAAATATGTCTCGGATTGCCTGGTGTGTTATAATTCTGGAAATGATTGTGTTAAACCATGACTCTTCAAAAATGGGCCTTCTTGGCGTTATTTAGTTTACAAGTATCCTTTTTTAAAAGACCAAATTATTAAATGTGTAAAGGTAGGATGGCAAGCCGACTGCTCATTGTTAGTGTAAAGACACAAACGTGGGAAGATCGTTGTTTTAAGACTTGGTGTTGGTATACCATGGCCGACCCTCTACCCTGTGTTGCAGTACTATTTCCTTTAAAAGGAAATGGCAGAAATTTGAGTTGATTCTGAGCAGGAAATGAGTGCAGTTGCTTGCCACGGTTTAAAAAATGAAATGGACCCTTTCTGCACGAGTTTTGAGATCTGCATTTTGATGCTGACGCTCTTGGATCGTACACTCCCCCGGTTGTGATCCGATGATCCGATGCGCCTGTCGCTTCATCCTCTAAACCTTTGGCTTTTCTTGCCATTCAAGGACAGAGCCCTTCTCTTCCTGACTTTTTTTTTGCAGGTATCAAGAAGGTTTTAACAATTTATATAAAATGCAAGTCATTGTAGAGCGGTCGGTCTGTGCCTTTCTTTTGGCCAGTCTCAGTTAAGAGCTGCAGTACTTTTAAAGGATTAGCTGAGCTATTGACTGCTTCACTTCGCTAGAACTTTGCAAGGGAAAGCATGTTTTTTTACGAGACATGGTAGAATGATTTGACTTGACGTAAAGTAGAGTTTATGTTGATTTAGAAATACTTGTATGTACTGGTTGTGGTTTCTCACTTTCTTGCATTATAATTATAATGGGCTTGTATTTAAAATAGTTTAAAAAAACCCACCAAACTAGAACACTGACCAATTAAATGATTTCTTTCTTAATGTGACAACGTTTGATCGTAGTTCATTTGTTATCCCCTTCTGTCCCCTTTCACCTACAACCCCTTCAGGGTTCAGCCTTCTAAAACACTGATAGCCACCGTGTGTGTGTGTGTGTGTGTGTGTGTGTGTGTGTGTGTGTGTGTGTGTGCGCGCGCGCGCGCGCGCGCACACTTCTCCCCTAATCCTGAGGTTTGCATGTTACTGTTGAATATATAGTGTGAAAACGGAACACCAATGTAAATACTGTGTTCCAGAAATTTTAAGGCAGCTTGCTTTCACATAACCACCTTCAGTTTGAATGCAGCACATTAATCAATACATACTTTATGAAGCACTTTCAAGTGATCAGTATGTGTTACATTCTTAACAATGATGTGAATTCCCAAGTTATTTCATAGATAAACTTGCATTGTGGTTTAGTGTCACATTGCTTTTGCTGTGTACTGGGGGTCTGAATTTTGTTTTTCTTGTATAGACTTGTTAAAAAGACACAATTTAAGTTTATTTAAATATCTCAAAGTAGTAGGTATAAATTTTCCTTGCTTAGGAATGGATTTTTGTCATTAAGAAATGAATTTTGTTAGTTTGTCTTGGAAAGTTGTACACCATCATTGAATGCTGTTAATGAATGAATGTTAGTGAAAATTCACTTAAAGTTATGCCATATTTAGGGACTCAGGCTTCTTTCCAAGATCATTCTTATCAATCCCAGTTAAAGGGAGAATGCAGAACAAAACACCTGTTGGGAGGGAAGTGGGAAGAGGAAGCAGGAGTGTGTGTTCTTTATCGGTCCATTGATACTGGATGACAGTGTGTGCCTGGAGCTACCTTGGTTTGATCTTTGTTCCTAGGGACCCAAAGGGGAACCTTGTGATCTTTGAGTAAATGGTTTTGGAAATCTTGTTTGCAGATAGATGTTAGTCTAGTTACAATGTTTATAGTTTACAGCTTTATCATTTTAGCAAAGATAGTAAAAATTTTAGCCTTAGTTAAAATTTAAAACTGGTGATTTTTTTTTTTTTTTTTGGTTTTTCGAGACAGGGTTTCTCTGTGTAGCTTTGCGCCTCTCCTGGAACTCACTTGGTAGCCCAGGCTGGCCTCGAACTCACAGAGATCCGCCTGGCTCTGCCTCCCGAGTGCTGGGATTAAAGGCGTGCGCCACCACCGCCCGGCAAACTGGTGATTTTTAACTTAGGTTAATAAAGTGAAATTAAGATATTTGTATGTGAAGAAGTGTTTTCTTTCTTTTTTTCTTTTTTTACACTTCCAAACCATTTTATTGTTTGTATTAAAAATATTTTCTCTCTGGGTGATGGTGGCGCACGCCTTTAATCCCAGCACTCGGGAGGCAGAGCCAGGCGGGATCTCTGTGAGTTCAAGGCCAGCCTGGTCTATAGAGTGAGATCCAGGACAGGCACAAAGCTACACAGAGAAACCCTGTCTCGAAAAACCAAAAAAAAAAAAAAAATTTCTAATAGTGTGTTAACAGAATCCTTCTGATGGAGCAGGGCAGGATGGGCACGTGGTTTTCCCAGCACTTGGGAAGCAGAGGAGTTCAAGGCCTTTCTGAGATAGCTTCTTTCGTCAGCCTGAACAGAGGTTCCTCACATTGACCTGCTGGACGCTGGGTGCCATTTGTAGTGCTGCTTTTTTGCTGGGACCGCCAGTCTGCAAATAGTGACATGGAAGCTTGACCTTCAGCTTAGGCTCGTCTCAACCAGCTCTTATAACTTAAATTAACCCGTCTATATTAATGTATGTTCTGCCACATGGCATTACCTCTCTTCTTTCTTTTTTTCTTTCTCTTCTCTTCTGTTTTTTTTTTTTTTTTTTTTTTTTTTTTTTGTCTTTTTCCAGATAGGGTTTCTGACAGCCCCGGCTGTCAGGCTGCTGCCCTGGAGCTTGCTCTGTACACCAGGAGAACTCAGAGATCCGCCTGCCTCTGCTTTCTGCGTGCTGAGATTAAAGGCGTGAGTCGCCACAGCCTGGCTTAGAAGCTGCTTTTATTACTTGTTGTATTCACATTTAAAGGGTCCCTATGGTACTTCAGTGGTTTTGAACACTTGACTATATTACTATACAAGTGTAGTTGAGATAAGTCCTAAGTAAATAAGTAAACTTATCAATTGATAATACTATTTAGGAAAGTATCAGGTTGTGTAGCCATAGTATATTAGAAGTATAAAATAGCTGACAGGAAGAATGCAGATTTTATTTTAGATATATTTTTGAAGAATTAGTTTCTTTCAGCAAGACTAAAAATATTTTTATTTGATGTATATGTGTGTGTGCCTGAGTGTATGGAGCCTTATGGGTAGGAGCCTGAGGAGGTTAAAAGAGGCATTGGATCCCTCAGGAACTGTGATCCTCTGCAAGAGCAGTGCATACTCTTAACCACTGAGCCATCTCTCCTTCTTCCTCCAGGATTTAAAAAAAGAAAAAGAACAAACAATTAAAATATGTAGTCCTGCTGGGTGGTGGTGACGGCGGCGGCGGCGGCGCATGCCTTTAATCCCAGCTTTCAGGAGGCAGAGGCAGGCAGGTCTCTCTGAGCTCGAGGCCAGCCTGGTCTACAGAGTTAGTTCCAGGACAGCCAGGGATACACAGAGAAACCCTGTCTTGAAAAACAAACAAACAACAAAAGTCCTTATTAAATCTTAACAAATAACCGCAAAACCAGTTATTCTAACTTTATGCCTCAGAGAGAAGCAGCGTTAGAGTTCTAGTTATCACTACACACAGGCAGAGGTGAGCTACACTGTCTGGAACATTTTATACTTTGCTTTAAAAAACTGTGTATGCGTTTATTCATTGTGCATAGGTGTGTATGTCATAGTACACATGAGGAAGTCAGGACAGTGTATAGGGTCAGTTCTTCCACCGTGTAGGTTTGGGAATGGAAGACAGCTCGTCAGGCTTGACAGCAAGCACCTTTACCCACTGAGCCGTTTTCATGGCCCTCTCATCCTTTTTTAAGATGGGGTTCTTAGCCAGGCGGTGGCGCACACCTTTAATCTCAGCACTCAGGAGGCAGAGGAAGGTGGATCTCTGTGAGTTCGAGGCCAGCCTGGGCTACAGAGTGAGTTCCGAGGAAAGTGCAAAGCTACACAAAGAAACCCTGTCTCGAAAAACAAAACAAAACAACAACAACAAAAAAGATTGAGTCTTGATGGTCTCAAATTCCTGGGCTTAAATGATCCTCCTATTTCAGCCTCTCGAATGCTAGGACTGAAGATGTATACCATTCCTTTTGTCATTTTTAATGGTTATATAAGCTGTATGATACTCCATAATACCCTTCCATAAAGTCTGGCTTCTAATTTTTGCTATGAATAATAAGTTTCTTGATTGTGTTGTTTCTTGATTTGTTCTACGTTTCTAGAAGACAACCCTTTTAATTCAAATTGATCCAAATGGACTAAACTGGGGTGACAAAATAGCTTAGTGGGTAAAGGTGGTTTCTGCCAAGTGTGATGTGAGTTCCATCCTTGGGACATACATGG